ATCATCAAAACTTAGGAGATTCTCAGAAACTGCCATCCCAAGAGACGCCAAGGAGACAGGATGACTAGAGGCAATGTGGTGTCCTGGATGGGATCCCGGGACAAAAAAAGGTATAAACTAATGAAATCCGAATAAAGTATGGGCTTTGGTTTATAATAACCTACTAGTGTTTCAACATACATTGCCATATTGATACAAGATGTTAATAATAGGAGAAACTGGATGTGGAGTGTATGGGACGTCTCTACTATCTTCACAACTTTTCTGCAAATCTAAGACTATTCTAAAGTAAAAGGCATGTTTTAAAATGGGAGCAAATACTTCCTCATATAATAAAGGCTGAGAAAATTAATCGTTGGAAGATCTTCAGTATAAGAAATACTAAAAGAGTTCTTCTGGCTGAATAAAAATGATCCTAGATGGAATGGTTGAAAGAAATGAAGAATACCACATTTTAAAACAACATTCATTACAATATGTTGTTGGGTTTAAACATATGCAGAAGTAAAATATATGAAAACAATAGTACAAAATGGGATAGGAGACTTAATGGAGTTTACATAGGTTTTTTTGCATTCTTGAGGAAGTGGTACTAGTGCTAATTTAAGGCACTAGTGCTTTAGTAAATTCACAGACGCATATTGTAATCTCTAGGGTAATCGATAAAAGAATAATTTTTAGGGGCTTCCCTGGTGGCGCAGTGGTTGAGAATCTGCCTGCCAATGCAGGGGACACGGGTTCGAGTCCTGGTCTGGGAAGATCCCACATGCCGTGGATCACTAAGCCCGTGCACCACAACTACTGAGCCTGCCCGTCTGGAGCCTGTGCTCCACAACAAGAGAGGCCGCGATAGTGAGAGGCCCACACACCGCGATGAAGAGTGGCCCCTGGTTGCCGCAACTAGAGAAAGCCCACGCACAGAAACGAAGACCCAACACAGCCAAAAATAAATAAATACATAAATAAAAATTTTTTAAAAAAAGAATTTTTAAATGATAATTAAAAGTGTATAATCAGGGCTTCCCTGGTGGCACAGTGGTTGAGAGTCCGCCTGCCAATGCAGGGCACATGGGTTCGTGCCCCGGTCCGGGAAGATCCCACATGCCGCGGAGCGGCTGGGCCTGTGAGCCCTGGCCGCTGAGCCTGCGCGTCCGGAGCCTGTGCTCCGCAACGGGAGAGGCCGGAACAGTGAGAGGCCTGCGTACTGCAAAAAAAAAAAAAAAAGTGTATAATCAATAAAGAAAAATATGGAATAAATGAAAATACTTAACCCAAAGGAATACAAGAAAGGAGAATAAATAACAGATGATATGAATGGAAAATTAATAGCAAGATGGTAAATTTAAATCCAACTGTATTGCATTTAATGTAAATGGTCTAAATAATCCAATTCAAAACAAAGATTATCAGGTAGGATTTTAAAATTTATCAACTATATGCCATTTACAAGAGATACAGTTTAGATATAAAAATACCAGGTAAGTTGAAAATAAAAGGATGGAAAAAGATATACCATACAAAGACTATCTGAAAGAAAGCTGATATGATTATATTAATATCAAAGTACACTTTTAAATTAAAAGAATTTCTAGACACATTCTAACACATTCTTTCACTGATATAACACTGCCCTAATTAACATGTGCAACTAAGCACAAAGAAGGACATTTCTTAGTGATGTGTTGAAACAAAAAAAAAGCTAAAGCAATCTTAAATTTGTCTGAACCTAAAACACAGCTTCAAAATATATAAATCAGATGTTGACCAAACCAAAAGGAGAATAGACAATTCCACAATGGGATTACACTAGAAATCAGTAAGGAAAAGATAACTAGAAAGTCCTCAGTTGTTTGGAAATTAAGCAGAACACTTCTAAATAACATACGCGTCAAAGAATGGAAATTAGAAAATATTTGAACTGAAGGATAAGGAAAATATGACATAAAAACTTGTGGAACCCAATTAAAATGTACTTAGAGGGAAAATTATAGCTTTAAACACTTAAAAAAGGAGAACATTTGAAAACTGGTCATCTAAATTTCCATCTCAGGAAGCCAGAAACAATAGCAATGTGAATTCAAAGAACATAGAAAGAGAAAATAGTAAAGATATGAGCAGAAATCACTGAAATTAGGAAAAAAACACGTGCAATAGAGAAAATGAATAAAGCCAAAATCTTGTCCATTGAAAAGATTAATAACATTGATAAATTTCTAGTAAAATGGATTTTAAAAAGAGATAAAACAGCAATTATTAATACCAGTAATGAAAGGAGACACCATTACAGATCATTTTTTTAAAGAACATATTATTAACAACTCCATGTTTCATAACTTAGATGAAATGGACTAATTTACTTGGGGGATAAAAAGCTTCCCAAACCTGATAGAAGATAAAATCTGAATAGCCCTATATGTAATACAGAATTAAACCTTTAATAAAAACTCTTATGACGTTATCTGCAGGCTGAGATGGCTTCAGTGGTATGTTCTTCCAAATATTTAAGGAAAAAATTAATAGCTATATTACAGACTTTTCCAAGGAATAGAAAAGAGGGAAGACTTCCAAACTCACTTTATGAGGCCAGCACATCTGAGGTACAAAACCTGACATGGACATTACAAAAAAGGAACACTACATACCAATATGTCTTATGAATAAGGATGCAAAACTCCTAAACACAATATTAACAAATAGAATCTGATGATTTATAGAAAGAATAATATATCATGGCCAAGTGGGGGTATAGCCAAGGAATCTGAGGTTGGTTTAACATTCAAAAATCAATCAACGTAGTTCAACACAGTAACCGAATAAAGGATAAGACATGGTTTTCTCAATAGATGGTTTTCTCAATAGATGGGGGGGAAAAACAGATTTGATTAAAAAAACAAGACATATTCATGATTAAAAACTCTAAGAAAACTAGAATGATAAAGAAACTGCCTTAATTTGATAATGGATAGTTTCAAAAACTCTAGGGCTAACATTTTAATTAATGATGAAATATTAAATACTTTCCGTGAACTCAAGAACAAGACAAGGTGTCCACTATTTCCACTTCTATTTACACTTGCACTGAGATTTTCAGTAGTGCAACAAGACAAGAAAAAGAAATAAAGGATATGAAGGTTGAAAATAAAGTGAAACTGTCATTATTTGTTGATGGCATGATTGTGTGTGTAGAAAATACAAAACAAACAATTAAAATTAATACATGAGTGTAGTATGGAGCAAGCAACAAACAATTAGGACATTTAAAAAAATATCATTTAAAACAGTATCAAAAAAACTCATCTAGGTACCTGGGAATAAATCTAATAAAAGTTGTTGAAGACTTGTACACTGAAAACTACAAATTTTCCAATATTCTTCCTAAGTTTCTGAGAGAAATTTCAAAAGGTCTAAGTAATTAGAGGTATATACCATGCTCATTCATCAGAAGACAATGTTTTTACAGCAAAGTAAAAACAACATACAGCTGTGTATAACAACATGGGTAGATCTCACGGAATGTTGGTCAAAAGAAGAAAGACGAGAGTACATACTGAATTATTTCATTTATATGAAAGTCAAGAAAAATTGAAACAGTTGTTCAAAGAATTGAACAATTGGGAGGTATTGACTGGGCAGTGGCATAAAGGAGCCCTCTGGAGTGTTGATAAAGTTCTTTATATTGATCTAGTTACTGGTTTCATGAGCGTATACATACGTAAAAATTCACATGTATATATGTATTTTGTGCACTTCCCTGTAGTTTGCTATTATCTCAAGTTTTTACAATTTAAAAAATAAATTTTGAAAAAAGCAATGGGAAACTACTGAGAGGTTAATAGAGGTGAATGACATGATCCAATTTATGTTTTAAAAACAGGTTTTGTGGGCTTCCCTGGTGGCGCAGTGGTTAAGAATCCGCCTTCCAATGAAGGGGACACAGATTTGAGCCCTCGTCCGGGAAGATCCCACATGCCCCGGGGCAGCTAAGCCCGTGCGCCACAACTACTGAGCCTGCGCTCTAGAGCCTGTGCTCCACAACAAGAGAAGAGAAGAGGTGCATGGGAAGCCCACGCACCGCAACGAAGAGTAGCCCCCGCTCGCCGCAACTAGAGCAAGCCCGCGTGCAGCAACAAAGTCCCAATGCAGCCAAAAATAAATAAGGTAAAATTAATTATTATTATTTTTTTAAAAACAGGTTTTGTGTGACAGACTAGAAAAGGGCAGGAACAGAAGCCAGAAGACCAGTTAAGAGGCCAGTGCATGGGCCCAGGCAAGGAGTGCCACTTGCTTAGACAGGAACCATTACAGTGGAAATGGAGACAAGAGGGACGCTTTGGAGACGGGTGTGGAAGCAGATCTGCAGGATGTAGTCAACCAGAGGAAAGTGTCACGAATGTTTTTTGGGGTTTCCACCAGAGGAAATGGAAGATGAACAGTTGAGGAACGCCAGGAAAGAAAATGAGGTCTAAAACTTGGGGTGGAAATGGAGATTTTGAAGAAGAGCCAAATCTTTGGATTTTGCCCAGGAGAGGGCTAAGGGATTCCTTAAGTGGGAGGCGAGGCTTGGCGGGGACAGCTGAGGCCGGGTCTGAGAAAGGCGCCTGGGGAGGGTTTGGGTGGGTAGGAGTATTTGGGATTAAGGTGCGCAGCGGGGAGGCGGGAGCTTGGCCTCGGGAGCTTGGCCTCGGGAGGGGTGCGGTAATTCTAGGCCGTGAGAAGCCGCTAAGAAATGCAGTTGGAGAAAGGGGCAGACCCATAGGAACTAATAGTCGGCACCCGGAATAAAACCTGCAGGAATGGGAGGCTAGCCAGGACCCGCCTAGGAGGTTTGAAAATGCCGGATTAGGAGTGCCCGAGATTGAGGGTCGGCCCAGCCTCACCCCTGGGGCGGAACCAATTGTGACGGCGGCGAGGTTTGCTGCCGGCGCTACAAAGGTGCCGCACGGGGACGATGGCGTGCGCCGGCGTGACGCGGCCGCGCGGGATGGGCAGGGCCGAGGCCTAGGCGGCGACGAGAGCGAGAGGCTGCGGCGGGACGGCGGCCCTTCCACCCGACCGCCATGAGCACCAAGCAGGTCACTTGCAGGTCAGTGCGCGGCCCCGCAGGTCCTTCCCCGGATGCGCCCCAGTCCTTCGTCAGGGAAACAAGCCGGAGCGGGGTCGTGGAAAGTGGCTCCCGGTTCGGGGTCCGGCTTCCGCAGGCGAGGCGGGCGCGGCGGCCGAAGCCTGGGGCCCGGCGGCAGGAGCCTGGGACCCGGCGGTGCGTGGCCGAGCCTCGTGGCGACATCCGGACGAAGCCAGCGCGGGCGGCTGGAAGAAAGGAGTGCTGGTGGGGTCCTGGGGGCCGGGCCAGGAGGGTTTAGCTGGAAAAGGTGATTTGGAGTTGAGTAAAGGGGCACCAGGAGGTGGTTTACAGATGGAGATACCACGCAGGTGTAGGCTGTTAATCGTCGGTGAGGGCCTCAAAGAAGCTGGGGCCCCGAAAGCGGCCTTGGTTTCCTAAGAGTTTGGAGAATTCCGATGCAGCGTAAACTTGCAGAGTTAGCGAGTTAAGAATTGCTGTGTGGAAAATAGCATTTACTGGAAGTTTGTTCATTGCCCCGCATATTCCCAAGTCATTTATACTCGTCACCAGTCTTCACTACTAGGCAGACGTTATTCCTGTTTTGCAGTGCAGGAAACTCAGGCTAACGGAGGTTGAGATTCTCATCTTACTGAGAGACCCATTTCCGTGGAGAAGTACAACATTAATGGGTGGCTGGTTGTAGAAAATTCAGAGCCGGGTGGCTGCACTGCTCCTGTTAAATACAAATAACTTGATGAGTAACACCCTCATTCCTTGCTAAGCGTGTGGCTTGAAGGTACTGGGATCCTACCTAGTCTTATTGGACCTGGAAAGTACAATTTTTCTTTTAATAATTGGTTTCAGTTAAGTCTGTGTGGGAAACATTGATTAGGGGGGAGAAAACCAGCCCACAGTTGTATGGTTTGATTGTGTAATGAGCAGTTTATTTAATTATCATCTGTGTTGTTACTTTTTTTCGTTAGTATGTATAGTTGAGACAGCGTAATGTAAAAAGTTGACTGTTCAGCCAGTTTATGTAAGGCCTAGGTGACGTATATTTAGCAGTTGTCAGAAACTTGCACGTAAGTGTCTGTAGAAAAGAGTTTTACTAGGTTATTTGTAATAGAAGGTCTTTTGTGAAGACCTCTGTGTATGTTTATTTTTATTTGTATAAAGTTCCCCCTGTTGGAGTAATATTCTTAGTCATTGTGGACTGTGTAGCAAATTTTGGTTACTGCTCCTAAGATGCGGCCACGTAACGGTGCACGTTTATATGATGCTTTGTAATTGAATCTTAACTCTGTGTGGTAATCTAATTTTACAGATGAGGAAACCTTATGCTCAGGCTTGAACCTTGCCCCTAATTCACATCTAACTGTAGGAACGAAAATGTAAATCAGGATCATCTTGGGTTTTCTCCTTCTATAGTAGGAGATGGCCTGACCTAAAAGCTTTAGTTCTGTTTTTCTCAAATAGGGGTGTCCTGCAGGAAGTTGGTGCAGAGAAGCTAGAGTGGGTTGGAACGTTGGGAATGGATCACTTCTGTTTAAGTACTAACTGTTGCTCGTTGCAGGGGTTCGCAGTGTGCTGGGTGCTCTTTGAGGTTCTTTACAGCCGTGTCGCATGTAATCCAGCAACATGCACCATTCCACAGATCATAAAACCAAGCCTCGGCATTGAAGTGACTTGCCAAGGTTATTCAGCTTCCAGGTGGCAGATGTGTGGCACCAGAAGTTATGCTCTTGTAGGCCCTATGGCTCCCAGATAAGTTTCGGAAATGCTAAGTTAAAGTTTCTTTACTACAGGAATTTTCAAAGCTTTTAATATGGTCATATGAAAGGAAAACTCAGCCAAAACCATAAGGAAAATAAAGGTTACTTGCAAAGAGATGTGAAGGAGTTGGGCCTCACAAGGGCTGCCTCGCCAAATAAAAAACAGAACACATATTTAAAGAGGAAGAACGACCATATTACCAAGACTACCAGGTTTACGTTAGTGTGCTCGTGATGGGAAAGCTTTTCTCAGTTGATTATCTTATTCACTGAAGTCATATCTCCACACATTGGTAACTTACATGAAATGATCCAGGTGTGATTTATTTGGGGGACCAGATCTAAACTGGGTGGTCTGCTGTTTTTGGTTTATGTCAGGGTGCAAACTGTTTTTTGGTTTGTTTTCCTTGCTGTGGGGTGTGATATACTTGCTTATTCTGAATGTCAGCTGGACAGGGAGTTTGTTTTGCTTCCATTCTAATACGAATTATTTCTCTCAGAGAGATGGTTGTGAAATGCTAGGATTCCCAGACGTAATGACAAAGACACTCCATATTTATTGCCTGGAATGCAAGAATGGCCCCTCACACAGTTGTGCTATCAGTCAGCTCCCCTGATTTCTTGACATTCCGCTCTATCCAGAATTTCAATCTGGGGATCCTTTTTTGCTGATTCTTTTTCCAAACCACCTCCCTATGTCTTCCAGTCTGTTTTCAAAGCCCTGGTGCAGGCCTTTATTATTGCTTGGTAACCAGTTTGTTTGTCCTCCTCCTCAATGTGATAGAGGTCCCTTTGTTTTATAATCAGTAGTACAAGACCTAGAATTACAGTTTCCTGAGAGTCTGGCCTAGGGCTTTTGACTCATTGAAAGTCACAAAATATGGGGCATCTTGTGGCCAGTGAGTGGTAGGAAGAGCTTGAGCTCCAGACTTGGGCAGTTCTGGATTCTGATTCTGGTATCACAGTCTCTTTATCTGTAAAATTGGGGTAGTAATGCCTAACCAGCAGCGTTGGTTAAGAGATTGGATAACGACTTACCATCCTAAGAGCATTTATGGTGTGTTAGGCTGAGCACTGACGTGCAGTCTGTGAAGTGCAGCTATATCATATTATAGATGTTGGGGAAACAGGTTTGGAGATTTAATTAATTTGCTCAAGGTCACAGGAAGCTCTGACCTCAGAGTCTTCATTTAACCACTACACTGTACTTTATTTCATCCCCACCTTATCAGTTATTTCAAGCCTACTACCATGCCTCGCATTAGCTGTGTTCCCCCTTGATGGATCTTTTGTCACAGCCATAAAATTTAAGTCTGTGAAATTATGTGCGAAAACATAAAGGAAGGTGACACTGAGAATGCAAATTACCCATATACCTGGGAACGATTTGCAAAAGTGTTTTGCTAGAGGCAGGCACCATTGAAAGACCTGCAAGAAACCAGATTGATTCTGTTTGGTTCAGCCGTCAGGCACAGCGAGAGCCGCTGGTGGTTCTGTGGCCAGTAGTAAACCTCATATCCTTTGCAGCATATAATAGCCGCACCATCTGAAACGGTCTTTGGGGTCACCCAGGATAACAGATGACTTTGGAGTGTCCCCTAGAAAGAATCTCCCTGCTCTGAGTCTCCAGCCATGCACTTCCCCCGTCATACTAGCAACAGCCCACACTCCTCCCCAGCTCATGTCTCAGTCTTCTCTCTAGGAAGATGTAAGGGATGGTTTGGCCATAGGGAAGGGTGAGCAGTTGGAAATTTATTACAGGGTGTAACATGAAAAAGGCCTGGATTAAGCTTAGTATAACCTAGGTGCTGAGAAGTCGCTATAAGTGGATGACAGAGATGCCCCGAAGGACAGGCAGGATGCGCTCAGGGAAGTTTTGTGTTTGTCACTGGGGAGTGGAAATGGTGACATATGCTACAAAAATAGGACTGGCTGGCTCCACCTCTTATGACACTTGTTTCACACCCACCTTTGTTGAAGGCAGTGATGGTGGCCTAGAAGTTATTTTTAAACCTCTTAAAATTTCAGCTCAGTCACTTACAGAAGTGAAATGGCTTTGCGGGGAAGTCACCAGCTTATAGGTGACAAAACTAGAAGCTTTAGGCGGTGGTTAAATATTTTGGATTTTTGATGGGAAAGATAGTGCAATTTGGAAGGCAAGTTTTCTGAATAGGACTTCCTCTTGCATGCCGGGTTAACAGGTAGTATCTGGTAGAGGAGCTCTGGTGGTCTCTTACCCTGATTCTTGCAGGAAATCTTGTCTAGTTCTCCAGAAGCAATTATCAATGAAGCATTTGTTAGATCTCTCTTCTGTGAACCTGTTCTCGTCCACTCTTTGTGAGTTTACTAATCCTGATCATCGGATTTGGCTCTTGGCACTGATTTTCTTTATTTTTTTACTTTTATACCTTCAAAGATTACCATACTTGAGGATGATTGGAATAATGTCACTGTGTTGAGTAGCATTTCTCAAGAAGAATTACCAAACTGCTTAGAAGCGTAATAAACTTTCGTGTCCAGGATCCCCAGACCACCCCTACAGCTAGTGATCGGCTAGAATGACCCATGGGACTTAGCGCATCGTCATACTCAAGGCTAAGATTTATCACAGTGAGTAGTGAGGAGTCACCGATGGATCACAAGGGAGAAGGGCTCAGGCGGCATCTGGAGGGGCCCATGTGCAGGCCTCCTGCCCTCACTTCCTCCCATAAAGGGTCACAGCGCACTCTTTCTCCCGCAGCAGAGATGCAGCAGCAGCATGTGCCCAGGGAAGCCCACTAGAGATCCAGTGCCCTGGACGGTCACCCTCTGCCCAGCATGTACCCAAACCAGGCTCCCAGAAGGAAAGCAGATGTTCAGCGTAAACCACACTGTACAGAGTATAGGCACAGTGAGCCACTTTGATCACTTAGAGACAGTTTATATCAGTGTAGG